ATGGTGTCTCAATGTCAATTTAGCAGCAGAGCCCAGTTAACTCAGGAGGACACAGTAGACTTCAGCTGCAGGCAGATGGGCCTGAAAACATCTGGGTAGTCTGGAAAGGTTAACACATCATACCACAATACACAGGTACAAAAATATGTTTATGCAAAGGCACTTGCTCATTTAACTCTATATAAACAAAACAAGAACCAAGAAAAAAACCCCAACCAAACATATGCCTCAAATTCACAATATTGAAGTTACATATTTTTTTGGGAACTGCCACTAAACCTTTTTTAAAAACGGGAGGAGAACTATGGCCAAAGTTTCAAGCTGAGCATAAAATTATGCACAAAGACAAATTTTTGTTGCAAATATTTACTCGAAAAGTAATAATTTACAGCAGTGCTTTAACAGCTGTTCAAAACATTTAGCATCCATAGAAACAAAAGTGTAAGTCAAAAGCACATTCTGAATGTTTCCGATGGAGCAACGAAATCCTAAGAGCAAGCTACCGTTAATCAGATGCATTCCTATACCTGCTGCTAACGAGAAGACAAAAAAAAAAAAACTAAAATCAAAGGAAAAAAACAAAACAAAAAGATCCCAAAAAAATCAAAACCAGCAGCCATCTTTCTGTACATAACTTAGACTACAAAAAGGCCTGAAATTGAACTGTACAATTCTACCTTCTATGCCCTTGTGTCCTATCTGTAAATTAGTCAGTAGCAGCTGTAAAATGGCGGAACACACACCAGGGGGTGTTTCCAGTTTGGGGGTTTCCTTATTTTTGCTTAATACCATTTTTACATTAAAACCATACTTTGGTGTGACTTACAGACCATTCCTATGTGTCTATGGCTAAGAATCATAAAACCAATGGTAACAGCCTAACAGCTACAGTACTTCCAGCATTATGTTCTACTTTATACAACTATGTTCGGTATTTCTGCACAGCCTGCACAGTGAAAACCCCACAAATACATATTTTTATTGTAATAATTCCACTTTCACTGAAAGTTTATTAAGGTAAGCTTACAGCCTGGCAGGATTATACCTGTACAGAGGTGCACAGATTCATATAATTCCGTTTACATGCTTTTACAGACAGGAATGTGACACCAAGTCCCAAGGTTTATGTTTACCCAAATTATCAGCAGACCAACAGCCCTGATTACAAGTGTGCTCCACTTTAGCATCAGAAGTAAGTTTATACTCAATTCTACTGTTCAATGATATTCACACTGAAGAATTTAAAAAAATACTTTCTGGGCGAACAAATCACCTTATCCTGGGCTAGTTAACTATAAAAAAATTAGAATTTATACCTCTTTTCAAATATCAATCTAATAATATATCACATCCAAGAGACAGGAAGGTATACTTGAACATATTACCTTCTGTAAGTTCAGTTAATTCACACATACACATACATGCTATCTCCATATGCAAAACTTCCCTTTGGTGTCTCTTTCTCTCCTCCCTCTCCCCCCTCCCCCCTTTTTTTAATATTTAGCATCCATAAGCACACTCATCAGGAATGGTCCGTGGTGTTCCTACCACCGTTTGTAACAATAAAGTCGACACAATTTCATCTTGCTTCATTTTCATCTGTCTGGTTTGCAGTTGTCTCCATTCTGTTGGGATTGCTTTCCTTAGAAACCTCATCTGTCTGTTCCGTGAGCTGTCCCGCTTTCTTTGACGAAGGTGTGACATTACCTTTCTGAAGGATCTCAGTAGCTTCATGCTCCAGTACTTCTGATGGAGTCAAAGGCTCCAAATGAATACTGCCCTGTTCACTGATGTCAGAACTGACAGACTCAGGTTCATCTCTCTTCCTGAAGAACTGCTCAAAGCTCACATCCTCCCCCAAGGTCAGCTTCAGGTCCCTCACGTTCATCGCTGACAGGGTGCTTTCATCCAAGCTCCGCACTTTAGTCTGCTCACCCAGGAGAACGTCGCCTGAGCTTTGGCACCTTTTCAACTCACTTCCATCATGAATACCTTTTTGTTTCTCATCTAACTGTTTGTTATTGTCATCTGAAGCACAACATGCTCTTTTCTCATGCAAAGACTTCTTCGAGCTGTTGCCAGGGAGTTCAAAACGAGGAACATCTTCTGTATTTGACAGCGATGAGTCTTCTTCGTTCTTTTCAGCAGATGCAACCGTTTTAGTTGGATTTCTACTGCATTTTTTTGTTTCATCTGAAGAGTCATGCTCTTGTTTGCTGAAAAAAACCCAACAAAACAACAAAACAAGTTACTTTTGCGACAAACAAAATAAAGCAGTACATGGTTGTACCCTGCAAAGTGACAAAAGAGTAGTATTGAAGATTTCCAATTTGGCTGTGAGATATCCTTCAGTGGTGAAATCTTACTGCTCACTGAGGTAGTCATAAGAATACTTTCATCCTGTTACATTGATTTTTCACTCATAATAAGAAATTAATCAAAAGATAGGCCAACCTCTTTACCAAATTACAACCTATATTTGCTACTTTAGTCAAACAGAAATGTTTGGGGTTTTTTCCATTTAGTGGACCAGCTAAAGAGTATATGACATTCTTGAATATACAAACAATTAATCTAAAATCTTCTCTCTCAAACTTCTAGAAAAAAAGTGGAAAAAATGTATTATTTGAGGGAAAACTCAAGACTAAGTTCCAGCACAAACGCCAACGCTCAGAAGCCCCCATCAGCTGGGGCTGACATATCTGATCATGCTGTAACTGTTCCTAATTACCTCATCTGTTCCAGAGAAACACCTCAGCCATACAGAGCCCTATAAATACTAGGTAAATATTGAGAATTGTTGTGATATGAAAATCCAGTCAAATCCTTATGAAACAGTGCACACACACATGACCTTTAGCTACTGTTGTTCAACAAGCAGTTTGAGGGTGATATGTCATTGCAGAGCACAGTGTTGTGCTTTATGTGGGAAGCTTTGAACACAGAGATGCAAACAAAAGAAAAGCTTTAAATAAAGGGATGACTAATGCCTCATTATCACACAAAGAGCAGTGTTCCACACTGCAAATCCAGATGGATCACATATATGTGCACACACACAAGATTCACACCAAGAAACTCCTCCAAGCACAAATCTGCCCTTAGCATATAAAACAAATTGATCACCATCTCCCTCCTCTTCTAGTAACCAAAATCCCAGCTTCATCCAAAGCCAGCCCTTTATTCTCACTTTTTTTTTAGCAAAAGACAGAAAGGGATGGAGCAGTGGGGAAGGGAAAAAGAAAAATATAGATACATGTTCACGTCTTGTGCAGAAGATACCTTCCTGTGAGTCATTTATACTAAGGAAATTCTACAGCAAGAAAGAAGAAACTACAAACCAGTAACATTTACACACCTTCATACAGAGTAGTTGCAAAGTGTGTGCAAACACCTCTTCCTTCAGTCTGTAGAAAGTATTTCTCCAGGTAACAAAACCTGTATTACAGTTACATTTACACTGTATATTTACATTAACAGTTAAGTGTGAAACAACACCACGGTTTTGAGACACATTCCTTGATTGTTCCCACATAACTAGTCTGATTTACCAACCAGTACCGGGGCCTGCAAATTATACTTCTTTTTGAGGAAAATGAACTGCAGGCTGTGATCCAACTGTGGATCCAGGACTGCTCCAGCTCCTGATGCAGCTGAGCCCTCAAGAGTCCAAACCAACAAGGGCCATTCCACACAGCTCACACGTGCACAGCACGAGCCTTCTGTCCAGGGAACACCACCCTGGTCTAAAAGAACACCTTGGAACCACATTCCAAGCTTTCATCTGAGCTCCAGGGTCTGCTCCTGGAGCACTAATTACCTGCCAGTATCAACAGAACTGCCTGGGTTCAGCAGCACAGAACAGAGTTTGAGGACTGACAATCTCTGGTGCTAAAGCTACAATACTCCAGACGTCTGTCCCAAAGTCCATAGAGCAGTGTTAAACAACGTTTTAATCAGAAAACACTGAACAGCTTTATATATTAAAATTATTTTTGTCTACTTGAACACAAGGACAGGAGAAAGTAGTACAAAATATTCAATTAGAATTACAGTGGCTGTTTACTAATCCACAGTGTAAAGACAGAGATACCTTCTAATACCTGAACCATTTAATCTCAATTATTGAGCAATTGTTAAGTGAAAGGATAATTTCAAATTATTTGGCCCACACTGCACCTGAGTAGAATAAAAAGTGACAAAGCATATATAGAGAGAGACTCTGAAAACAGTTTGTCTCTTTATTTTTTTAAAGGCACTATAAATTCCTACATAACAAATAACCACAATTGCGGTTTGACTGAGCTCTTAAAGGTTAAATTTGCACCAACAGTTGTGAAAGGGATAATACATGTTAGGGTGTGGAATCTGGATTAATATGAAGTCTAAGTCTATCCACAATATGTGCCAAAAAATGTGTAAGATTTCAATTCTTTCTGACACAATTTCAGTGTAAAAAAAGCCCTGTCAGCTCAGCCAGCAAACTTCACAGAGCTTTTCCTCTCCGTGTTCTCTGTTTTTCCAACTGGAAGAGCTCTGGTGTGTGGATTGGTGTTTTATTTTTTGGGGGAGAGGATGTTGCACTCTTCTGTTTTTTAAATGAAAGGCAATACTATGGAACACAGTTTTGCTGGGGGGAAAAAATGCGACTCTGAAAGACAATATGGACAATATGGGATAAAAAAAGAAAAACTAGGAGAAAAGGCACCTGAAGTGGCAATGGAATCTGTGGAAAAACTGTTACCTTGTATGTCTGAGAATCTTTCCTAACACTTCTGAATGAAAATGAACAGTCTTCTCATTTCTACAAAACCATTGTTCCTGTTAAAGAACCTCACCAACCTCTTTGCATTTTGGAAAGCTGTCAGAGTTACAAGGGAAGTCTTTACTAGGTCTGAGGACTTCTTCCTCTCTCTTACCATCTGGGATTTCTGTAATACAACTGCCCTTTCTGAAGGGCAATGGGAAGACAACTCCTTACAAAAAGACCCCGAAGAAAATCTATAAAATCAGAATCCAAAGATGGTATTTTGTTGATTTCCAGGTTCCCTGAATATGATGATCCGTAAGGAGTGCAAATGGTTCCTTCCTTGGAGGCTGGCAAGGAACTCAGCCAGAATGGACTGCCTGTAAATGGCAATCTTTGGTGTGGCAGGTGCTCCAAGAGTGCCCCCAGCACTGGCACATCTTTCTGCAGGAAAACACGCAAAGCTGGGTTGTTGCACTGGGCACGTCCTCTGAACACCATGAGCCAGCCCTACAGGTACAGTCGAAAAAAAAACTGCCTTGATCTTCCCACCAGTTACAAAGTTCAGCCTTTGTCAGACTGGGTGTGGAGAGAAGAAAAGACATCACCTCCAAGTCAGCTTCTTTCTGTCTAATGCAGATTTTGGCCTTTAACCTAGTGGATAATGAATTCAGATGCAATGTTTTAAATACTGTATGGGTGAAATAGAGATAAGGATGGAGAGACTTAGAGTTAGAAAGCAATTTGGTAATTTGAAAGCAATTTGGTAATTTGAACCCCATTTTTGAAGTTGATATTCATTCTGAGCTTAAATGCACTTCGTTTGAGAATTCTATAATTTTTTTAGTGCGTGTACAGAAATTATAAGATAAACTTGTAACCTACTCCACTTATCTTGCCTCATAAAAACCAGGAAGCAACAGCCTTCAGATGGTCAGCATTACTTTTACTCCAATGCTCACTGCGGTTTACCTGAGGAATGATCTGCTCACCATAAAAGCCTTTGAAACCATGACTGAAGCATTTGAGATCTGAAATGCAAAATCAGGTGCATACAGTGACCAGACAAAAGCATTCCACAGTACAAGCTCAGTCTTCTTTAATTTGTCTGCCATAACCCCAACACCCAAACCACAGCTCAGTTTACTTTGGGCCAGCTGTAAAACATCTCACCTGACCTCCAACACTGTTTGGAGGAGACACTTCCCACAAAACACCTTTACAGGCCCGGTACCAACAGTAGATGAGCTATAAATTATTTAAATTTATTGACTTTTAAACTCTCATTAATTAAACAGCTTATCACAACATCACTAAAATTGATTTTCTCTGTTTCTCTAAGAAAATGTTATCGCAGAGATAGCAAGTATGTCTCCTAAAAAACCTTGTTAAGTCATCAGTTCTAATAAAATCTAACCTTTCAAAGGTTTCTTATAAAAAAAAAAAGAAAAACTAAACAAACCCCTCAAAATTGCTTATGCCTGTATCTTCTTTGTTGATGCTGCATTAAAGGCACATTTTATCTGCTGAAGTATGGTGCTGCCTTTGTTATACTTAAATAATGTTATTAATCATAAATTAAATTATTCACCACCTCAGCTAGTCTTAATGGTTGTCTACAGGGTACAAAATACTTGACATAAAAAAAAAAGCTTTACCACTTAAATTTTATGAAAACTGTACACTATATCAACTACACGTATTTTTGTAAATCCAAGAAAGCAGTGCTAAACCCAGACCTTTTAAAGAGTTTTAGCACATAGTTTCAGCACAACATGAGCACCTTCTTACACTGATGTTCTAGCAGCTAACCAACATCTTGAACTGCAGCATAGACAATAATTTATAACTATTTTAATTATTACATCTTAATTTGCAACAATAGATGGAAAAAATAGCTACAAAAAAAGGATAGTTTTAAAATAGTATTTCTATGACAGCACTGTAACAACAGTAAGAAATTACCAGGGGAAATCAAATGAGAACACAGTTTTTGGGTCAGGGACTTTAAATACTCTGAAGTACTTAATCAGAGTAGCAACATCAGTAAAAGATGATGCAACCCCAAACATTTAGCTTAGCTTCACTGCTTTAATGATTTCTAGGCAAGAGTTTAAACATGCTGGAAACAGCATTTTGTCAAAAAACAGTCACTCCTGAAAGAGCAGAACAATTTGGACACAAATAGAATAGATATTGTGTATTCAAGGACAAAACCTTGGATTCCCAATGCATATTCTTAACCTTAATTCTCTTTAGAGGTTTTAGAAAGCAGTTCCTTCTAATTTGTAGTTGGCAGAAATTGCATGAATGGACATTAAACCATAGACAATTATCACCTTGTGATGTTCCCCACACTTTTATGATACAAGAAAATTTAAATCCCTGAGTTCTCAAACATCAACAAAGGCCGTGTCCTTTATTACATGTGTGAAGCTACAGTGCTGCCAGAGAGAACATGACAAAAAT